GCTATAGTCCTGAAAACAGCTTGGTATTGGCACAAAAATAGACAGACCAATGGAATATAATTGAAACATGGTATGTACTCACTCATTTATGGATTTTAGGCATGAAACAGGGGAGTGCCAGCATACAATCCCACTGCCAGGGAGTCTAGGAAACAGAACCTTCATCCAGCGATTGATGAAAGCAGAGGCAGATACCCACAGAAAAACACTGAACTGAACTCCTGGAATCCAGTGTCAGAAAGGGAGAACTGATGGGAAAAGGAGTTAAGACTGGGCTGGTTTAACCCACAGAAACAGTTGACCTGAACAAGGGGGAGCTCTTGGACCCCTGATTGATGGCTATGTGGAAAGCGTGGGACTAACCCAGACCCCCTGAATGTGGGTGTCAGTAAGGAGGCCTAGGTAATCTATGGGGCCTTGGGTAGTATTTATCCCTGGCATACAAATGGACTTTGAGTGCCCACGCCACAATATGGGATGCTCTCTCAGCCGGGACTCTTGGGGGAGGGCCTAGGCCCTGCCCTGGATGACATGACAGACTCTGGAGATCCACCATGGAGGGCCTCATCCTCCCTGGGGATCAGAGTAGAGATTGGGTGGCGGACTGGGGGGGGTCTGGTGGAGAGGGATGAGGACGAGGGGAGGGAGAGGGAGCTGTGATTGACATGTGAAACAAGCTTGTGTCTAACTTAAAATTAAAAAAGGAAGAAAAAAAAAAGAAACCATCCTGAGTGAGGTAACCCAGTCACAAAAAGACAAACATGGTATGTACTCACTCATATATGGATTTTAGGCATAAAACAGGGGAATGCCAGCCTACAATCCTACTGTCAGAAAGTCTGGGAAACAGGGAGGACCCTGAGAGATATGCATGGTTCCCCAGAGAAAGGGAACAGGACAGGATCTCCTGAGGGGATCGGGAGCATGGGAGAGGGGAGAGGGAACTGGAAGAAAGAGAGGGGGAGAAAAGGAGGAAAGAGCAGGTCATGGGGGAGCAGGAAGGTTGAGTCAGGGTAAGAATAGAGAAGGAGAGCAGGATGAGAGATACCATAATAGAGGGAGCCTTTATAGGTTTGAGGAGAGATCTGGCACTAGTGAGATTTCCAGAGATCTACAAGGATGACACCAACTGGGACTGATCCAGACCCCATGAATGTGTGTGTCAGTGAGGAGGCCTCAGTATTCTTTGGTGCCATGGGCACTACATGAATATTTATCCCTGGCATCCAAATGGACTTTGGGAGTCCATTCCACATGAAGGGATGCTCTCTCAGCCTGGAAACATGGGGGAGGGCCTTGGCTCTGCCCAGGATTATATGACAGACTTGGAGATCCCCCATGAAGGGCCTCCATGGAGAGTGGAGTGGGGACTGGGTGGGGGGATTGGAGGCTTGGGGGTTAGGGGAGGAGGGGAGGAAGAGGGAGCTGGGATTGACATGTGAAGTAAGCTTGTTTCCAATTTAAATAAAAAAATGTTGAATGAAAAAATATAAATAAAAAAGAACTATTTACAAATGTCACTTCTCAAAAGATTCTCCACAGACAGAACAAGGAAGGAATATAGGAATAAGGAGTACTATTCCCATCTAGGTCAGAGCAGCTGGAAGCTTCCGTGAGAAGGGTCCACAGATGGTTTTGTATCAACACAATAACCCTGAAGCAAACAATTTAACACAAGAATCTCCAAACTGAATCACTGTCTGTCAGTCAGGGTTACTGTTGCTGTGAGGAAACACCATGACTAAAAGGAACTTGTGAAGGAAAGGGTTTGTTTCAGTTTATAACTCTCAGGTCACACTCCACTGATGAAGGAAGTCAGGGCAGGAACTCAAACAGAGCAGGAACCTGGAGGCAGGAGCTGATGCAGAGGCCATGGTGGGTGGGGTGCAGTTTACTGGCTTGCTCCCCATGGCTTATTCAGCCTGCTTTCTTATAGAACCCAGGGCTACCAGCCCAGGGATGGCACCAGCCACAATAGCTGAACCTTCCCCCACCAATCACTACAAATTCATGAAAGTAGGAGGCTAAGTGTGTCTTGTTCATTGTTTGTTACTCTGCCTTCTCTATGGTATATGCAGGTATTCTTTTATAAAAGGGACAAGACAGAGAAACACAAAGAAAGGGAGCAGAAAGGGGGGGGGACACGGACACGGCCCACCGTGAGCTGGTGACGGGCTGCACTGCAGAATCTGAAGGGTCTGCTGTGTGAGGAGAGGGCACACTCTCACAGACTGCATGGTCGAGAAAGGACAGAAGAACCAGGCAAGTTGACTTGAACATGGAAACCTATAACAAGGTCTGAAACCGGGCTGAGAGGAAAGAGAGAAGGATGGCTCATTTAGAAAGCTTGTGGGCACATGTCTATAACTCTGGCTCTGGAAGGACTGAGACAGGAGGCTCCCTGCAGTTCAATGGACAGCCAGTCTAGATAAAGCAATAAGATCCAGGTTTAGCCTCAAATAATGAGACGGAGAACAACTGGGGAAGATACCTGAAGTTGAGCTGTCTTCCACATGCACTCACACATACACAGAGACGAAGAAGATGAGCCTGGTGGGACAGAGCAGCAATGACATCAATCACAGAACTCCGAATATTAAAGTGAGAAGCACAATTCTAGTGACCAACACCTACAGCCAGGTACCACTGTATCTATATTGCTATGTAAAAGCAGCCAACATGCACCAGTCTTGCGAGAGCTGGGAGCGGAATATAAATGCTTAGTCCCAGCATAGAAGCAGGTGTTTCCAGCTATGGTACCTAGGACTCCTCCTCCGTTCTGCATAAGCCCAAGGAAGTGCAGAGACATTTCTGCTGCTGGGAAAAATTAGAAAGACCATGCTTACAGTAACTAGGTACATTCTGCTGCAGTGCCTTGGTGTGCAATGCTACCACTGCAAACTTACAGGGAATGACTTCAGGCATGAGGAAAATAAGCAGTTTTTATCCTTCATACTGACTGATGCATCTTGAAAGGACATTTTTGTGTCACTGCTCTACTGAAGCTTCCCTTTGGAACAACTCTAAACTCTGAAATTCTGTGTGCTCTAAATGAGGTTCCAAATCGTGACTGATTCATACTCTCTGCAGTGGTGGCCAGGCATGGGTTCTGCAGGTATGCAGTGTATTCTCAGCGGACACTGAATATTGGAAGGAAACCCCGCCTTGGATCAAAGGACCTTCACACTTTACTAGGTTTAATACCTTCACTATAGAGACTGGAGATCAAATTGTCGAGGAATTCACACATCTCAAACCCTACCACAGACCTCCATGTTCCTGCACCAATTGCATCCAAGGTGGCCCATTTCAAACAAATGTGTACAGATTCATGTTCATAACTGTTCCACTAATCTGTTATTTCCACTCAGGATAACTATTAAAAAGAGCTCATTCTTTATCCATAATATAAACACAACCAGAAAGACGTATACCATTGCCTGCCTTAGGTTTTAAGGCCCATCACTTTCAGATAATTAATGTAATATGCATTGAAAAACAAAAAAGACAGACAATATATTATTTTAAACAAAACCTGGAAATAGCACCTCTTCCATAAACCATTTGGTGAATACTCCTTTTATATTGAATGTAACCTCACATTCCTCAAATACTGTGTAATTGGAGTTTTTACCTGATATGACTTTCCTGGAGATATGTAATTGGCCTTGTTGCATGCTTAAGTAGAATGAGAGAGAAAGGGGTGAGCAGTAAACAGTCTCTCCAAGGTCTGAACTTTGAATGGGAAGAACTGCTTTTCTATATGGCAGCAATGGATTTGAGGAACACAAGTGGGAAAAGTGTCCACCTGGGCTGGTGGGCAGAGTTCAGTCTGATCTACACCCTTCCCTGCCTCACTGAAGTCCTTCAGTCCATCATCTTAGCTTCAGTTTTTATTGTTCTCACCTACAAACCAAGAAATACATGCTATAGAGTTACTAGAGGTTCCACCAGGCTTTCAGAAGCAACTTAGAATATGGTGTTTGGTTATCTGGTTCACATGGCTCACCTCCAACCTCCCTGAAAGTGTCTGTTGATATGCACAATAGAAGGTTAATACAGATTGGAGGTGGCTTTCAAACATCACAGCAACTGAAGCTTAGCATGTTTTCTTAGCATGTTCAAGGTCCTAGGTTCAATACTCTGAACAAAAACGGGCAAAAAGCCCTGGTGACACACACCTATAATCCTAGATACTCTGAAGCCCAGACAGAAATTTAAGTTTAAGGGAAGCCTGAGCTACAATAGCTTGAGGCTAAGCTTAGGAAGATCATGTCACCAACATAATAAATAAACCAGACATACATACATACATACATACATACATACATACATACATACATACATCATACAGACAGACAGACAAGGAGTGAACTCAAAGTAAGCAGAGCACTTACTTCGCATGTGTAAAGCCTTGGGTTTAATCCTCAACACAAAACAAAATAGAAACAATGAAAACAAAACAGACACATTTTTGAGCCAGGCATAGTGGCACATACCTTTAATCCCAGCACTCCAGAGGCAGAGGTAAGCAGACCTCTGTGAGTTTCAAGCCAGCCTAGTCTACATAGTGAGTTTCAGAATAGCCAGGACTATGTAGAGAAACCCTGCCTTATAGAAACCAAACACAGCAAATCCAACATGGTAACTGCTTGCCTCAGGCTGGAAGTGTGACCTTGGCTGTTTCTGACAGGTAGGCTGTCAGGAGGTAGCCAGGATTCCTTGTGAACTTTGGGCAGAAATTCATTTATCGCTATTCAGAAGATCCTCATACTGAACAGGGAGAATTGTATGGGAGAATGCTTCATGCAATCCCTCAGGCATGAGGGCATTTCTCTTCATTTCTGAAAATAGTTCAGCAAAGAAAGGACCACTTTTTCCTCTAAATATTTAGATTCATATCTTACCATTAGAGTATTGGCCACATGTCGGACATACTGCAAGAAACAACTACTAAAAGATGGCATTAATTTAAACCTTTAAAATGGAATTTGCATTACCTCAGTATTAACAGCTTCCATTGGTCTTTTCTTGATTTCTCCTATGTCCAAGTAACTAGAAGGGGGAAAAGTAAGGGTTGCTTTTACAGGTTTGAAGCCAGTTACATAAAATGTTTAAACATTATTAAACAGTCAAGTCAGTCATAGGATATGTATAAGCCTGAAGCAGAAATCAGTAGGCACTAGTGTTGTGAGGACAATGTTCATACAGCCTCACCAACCAGAGCTGAAGCATCTGCCTGGTTAGGAAGCATTTCTTCCTTAATAGTAGTTTCTCAGTCTGGACTTACTCTCCTTCTCCCCTCCTCCCCTTCTCCCTCCCCCTCCCCCTAGCCTTACCCTCTCCTGCTCTCTTCCATTATTTTTCTTTTTTTAGAAACAGGGTTTTATATACTGAAAATTAGGCTTGAATTCACTGTGTCCCCAAGAGTGACCCTGAATATCTGATCCTCCTGCTTCTACCTCCCCAGTGCTAGGATTACAGGCCACCACACCTGTTGTATTTGATGCTGAGGCTCAAACACCACATATGCAAGTACTTTATCAACTAACTCAATCTCCAGCTATTTAATGTAACTACATTCTATGAGTTCTATAAATTCTATGAATTGAATTAATTACAAAAGTTAGGTAAAAGGACATAGTGAAAGTCTGGGAAAGACAGACTGGGGCATCAGAGTCAAACCTGAGGAAAAGAAACAGGGTCGTTTTCCCAGTGACACTGAAATGCCCAGCATTTAAAGAGATTTAGGCATTGGATCAGCTTACAAACAGATGGGGAGATAGTTAACCTCTGAGACTCTTCTTATCCTATTTCTTTTCACTACAGGTACTAACTAGTGGCTGTTGCCTAAACACAACTGAAAATGTATTATCTTTGTCAATTTCATGGGATTAGCCCATCACTGTGATCTAGTTCCAGTTTTAAATGCTTCCCAAACTATCTTTGAAATAAAGGATACTAAGTAATTACTTCAATAAAAAAGTATAAATCTAGCTTCTAATTTATAACCACAATTACAGATTCAACTATCTTAACTACTACAGCAGACAAGTTGTCAGTAAAAATAATTTATTCAAACGGTAAAAGCCTGAGTTCCATCCCTATGAGCTACATGTGGAGGGGGAAGGGGAAAAAGGACTTCCCAAAGTAGTCCTCTGACTGCCACCCTCACACTGCAACATGCACACAGCTACACACATGCACACAGACAATAATAATAAGTGAAATAAATTGTTATAAGCTTATATATTAGAATTAACTTTGGCTGTTGAACTGAGCTCACCATTGGCTGATGCTGTTTGGTTTCACTGGGCAGAATGTTAACTGATACAGAACTTAAACTATCCAAACAGCAATTGTGTGAGACAATGTGAACAACTGATCTCAGCAATGAAATGTGTCTTTTATGAATTTCCTGGATGTACTTCTACCTAGACAAAAAAATATTCTGTTGCAAACAGGAGAATGTCTCCTGTTTTATATTACAAATGTCTCACACCTAATGGGTTAATGGAGGTGAGACAACTCCAAAAATGTATGAGAAAAGTTTTAGAGGTGTGTGTGTGTGTGTGTGTGTGTGTGTGTGTGTGTGTGTGTGTGTTTGATCATGCGCATGCTACAACTCACATGTGGAGGTCAGAGAACAATTCTGTAGCATGGGTTCTCTCCTTCCTTCCACCTTTACATGGGCTTCAGGGGTCAAACTTAGGTCATTAGGCTTGCAACACAAGCACCTTTACCCATTGATGCATTTCATCTTGGCCCCAAGAAAAGTTTTGAGGAAAATGCTGTCTAAAAGTACTGTAAAAGAAAGGTTTAAAACCTACGTCAATCTTAGAGAAAGTGTCAAAAAATATTAGAAATGTCTAAGTGAAAGACATTCCATCAGGAAATTGATCACCACTTTCTGACAAGTATTTTGCTGTCTTCTCCAACATTATGTTGGCTCAAAGCGAAAACCCATGAATGATCCTCAGCACTCCTCAGACTCTCCTTTGTTCTGTCCGTTGCTTTGGTTGTTATACAAACATACAATGCCAAGCTTCAAACATCCAGCACTGAAATTTTAGTGCATATCCCTACAAGCATAGATAGATACTGACTGCCACTTCAACACCAATCTCAGCATGGAAAACTAACCATGGGGACTTCAGTAACAAACTCAGTTTTTGTGTTTCTGTGTGTGAATTAAAAGTAAAAGTTAACACTGCAGATCCACAATATGCTATAAAAAGTGGCTTGAAAAGCAAGTTCTGTTTGTCTTAAAGCTGTAGTTTTTCATCCTGAATTGGTAGCAACACACCTACAAAGAGGGACATAAATGACTACAGTCTACAGCTTTTAGCTGCTCAAAATCTAAACCAGATTTCCATTCTCATGAAAGTATTCTGTCTCTAAGTGGGATGTTTTTGTTGTTTTGCTGTTGCTGTTTGAGATGAGAGCCAGGCTGGCTTTGAACTTTCTTTGCCCAGGCTGGTCTTAAACTCCTGATCTACCTGCTCCTATCCCCCAAGTGTTAGGATTATATGTCCCACTATCCCAGGTATGGAAATAATTTAAAATACAGACATAATGCAAGATACTGGCCATAGAGATGCCTTATATTTATAAATACAGCACCATCTACAAAATGCACTCATAGCCTAGTTTTTACCTTTTTATTTTTTTAACATAAGGTCTCATGTGTCTAAGGCTAACCCAGTGCCACATAAAACCAGGTTTGGTGATGTTTAAGAGATAGAGGCAGGAAGATCATAAGTCTCAGCCTGACCTTGAACTTCCTGTGTAGCAGAAGATGATCATAAACTTACAGTCCTCCTGCCTCTGCCTCTTAAAGAATCAAGTTACAGATGTGTGCACCACAGCTGGTTCTATGTGGTTCTGGTGATCAAGGACTTTGTGCATGCTACGTAGCAGTCTCCCCCAAAGTGAACAGCCCAAATCCATCAATGGATGAAGGAAAGCTATTACGTCCATATCATGGACAACTACTCAACTGTAGAGTGGCACTGATCCGTGCTATAGCGCGGATGAACCTTGAAGGTGTTAGTAGCGAACAGAACAGCCAAAGTCCACATGTTGTGCTATTCTATACTGTAAGTACAAGAAAGAGTGGTTTGCTCATGTCTGGGGAAGGAGGAAGTTGGGAGGTGCCAGTTTCTTTAGAAGAGTGATTGAGATACTGTAAAATGGATTTGTAGGGATGGTTCACAACTCTGGAAATCATGGAAATGGGTGGACTCACCAAAATATACATCAGTAAAGCCTTAAAACACTCACAGAATCTAAGAGTTTTCTATACTGTCCACTCCTGACAACTCTCAACTCCCACATAAACTTCAGTACTTTTCTTACTGTTCCTATCTCCTTATGATTTGCATTAAAATCATCAGTGTGCAGGTGGAAAGTACTCAAAGCTGAGTCAAGTCTGTCCATCTTAGTTCACAGACCTTAAACTCTTGTTGCTAATTCACAGAAAAAGACGGTGGAGGAGCTCCCTATCGGAAAGTGGCCTGTGGGTCCTAAAGAGAGATATACACAGACACAAAAGTGGACTTTTCCAAGCATTCTGTGACTAGCACAAACACCTAGGACACAGGAAGAGGGCATAGCACCTGGCTGTGTGCTTTCTGCTTGCAATGAAGGAATTCAAACAATGAGAAGGGAAATCATAGCAGAGCATCCAGCCCTTGGAATTAACTCGTAAGAAATCTTTGTTTTTTTCTTTAAGCTAAAGGGATGAGTTTTAATAAAAAATAAATAAATAAAATAAGCCTGCAATCTCACACTTGGGAGGCTGAGACAGGAGGACAGCAGATAATTCAAGGCCAGCCTGATCTTCATAGTGAGTTTCAGACTGGAGCTACAGAGGTCCTGTCTTGAAATAAGAAAACAATGTTGTTTCTACGCTGTTTAGCCAGTCATTTAAAATCTGCACCTACTGCTACTGGAGTGAAATTCCTTCTCCAGTTTCAACTCTACCTGCAACTGCCAGCTCCTCGCTAGACCGAATGAAGGCAGCCTATCAACCACGCCCCAGGGCCCAGGGCCCAGGGCACACTGACTCACTTGAGTTTCTTGAAGGCTTCCTGGCCCCCAGCCACGTAGTTGCCCCCGCTCTCAATCTGGTCCAGTTTCCGGATGCGGTGACCCGTCCTCGGGGTGTAGATGTTCCTAACTGCCCCAAAGGGCGCCTGTACGCCGCCCGTCACTTCCTTGAGGAAGACGTCGAAGCTGGACACCTTCTTCTCATGAATGACAACACGGCGCCCGGCGAAGAAGGGGTCCCCATTGCGGTACACCAGTACGCTCTTCACTACTGGCTGCGACAGGTGGTTGGACCTGGCGCTCGGGCCGTTCATCTTCCCTTCTGGACACCGGGCCCGCTAGCACTCCACGGCCCTGCAACACCAGTTCGTGGACCGCCTCCTGCAGAGACAAGGAAAGGCCACTCGCAGGTGAAGAAGTGCCAGCCCTGCGGGGCCAGCCCCAGTAGGTAGCCGTTCAAGTAAGGCGCGGCACAGAGGGCCAATCAGCGCTCGCAGGCTCGCACACCTGTCTCTCCCGCCCCGCAGCGCCCAGGTGTGCTGCCTGGGAACCCGCACCGCCCAGGCTTTAAACCCCTGCGCGAGCTGGGACAGGAGGGACAGCGGCGGACGCGCGCACTTAAGCGCGCGCACACGCACACGCATTCAAGCGCACATTACTAACATGGCGAGATTCAGTGCTAACGCTAACATCACATCTGTGTGGTTTCTCCCAACTGCTTCATTTTTTTTTCTTCTTTCCCTTGTCTTGCACTCTAATACCACCAGCTCATTCGGCCCCCCACTCCCACCCCGCCCCAATAAAGCCATTAAACTACCTGAAAATGCATTGAGAAGTTTGGACACAGTGACGCACATTTGTCATCCTAGAATCAGGACTGCTAGGACTGGAGTATTGCCTCGAGTTCAAGGCTAGCCTGAACTACCTGGAAAGTTTTAAGCCAGTCTCAATTATAGGCAGACTAAATTATTATCAATACATTAAGTAATTTGAGCAGATAGAAGCAGAGGCGACTCCCGAGTCAGAAACCCCGGCACTCTGGTCTGGCTAGCGCCGCCCAGTGGTGAGACTCGGGTGGGCCCTTCGCAGTGGTACCTACCGACACTCGCGGGAGTGGGGGAGGGATGGGGGAGGGGTGCGGGTGGGGGCAGGGCGGGTTGCAGGCGCTAGGGCCGCACCACTGTGAAACCCTAGCAGGCCGCGCGTCCCTAGCACTGGTCCTCCAGCCGCCGTTAGTGTCTTCTGAGGGCCTGCCAGGTCCGCGGGGAGTCCAGTTTGTTTTTTTTTTTCTCCCCCCTCGCCGTTTCCATAGCAACTGCAGCCTCGCGCGGAGAGTTAGCATAGGAACTGGGTTTGGAGTGCTCTTGCCTCCCTTGAGCTTCTCGGCCTCTGGCATCACATAGTCGTCAGGGGGCTGAGAATGAAGTTACCATGCCAGTGCTGTGCCAGTGTGGTTCTTAGAGACCGACACACAGCTTGGTAGATAATACCCTACAGTATTTTCAGTGCCTACTATGTGTCTCGAAAAGATTAAAAAAAGAAAAAAAACTTAAGTACATTGGGGCACAAATAAAAATACAGACACATATATACACATACTTCTGCTGAAATGAACCAGACCACTGTTCCTCTTATTCCTGCTAAGCGTGTCTACATTTTTAAAGCAGGTACGACCTTTTGAATGGGAAACGCCCCCATAGGCCCATGTATTTGAAGACTTGGTCCCCAGTCAGTGCAGTACTTGGAGAGAGTGTGGACCCTTAAGAGGTGCAGTATCACTGAAGGAGATAGGTTACGGGTCTTCGGGGTTATAGGCTTGCCCGCTGCCTCACCAGTCTGTGTCCTGAGCAAGCAGCCACCATGAGCTCCTGCCATCACCATGCAATCGCATGCCACTGGGGTCCCTAGCATGATGAAGTGTAGCCCCTCAAACGGCGAGCCAAAATAAATCTCTCCTTATTTCATTTGTTTCTTGTTAGGTGCTTGGTCACATAGATGAGAAAATGGTCAATAACAGCAGGTCTTCCTAATTCACCACATCTGAGTAAAAATAATTTTTAAAACAGCACATTAAACATTTAACAATGTACCAAGCATTGCACGGGGTACTTTACACACACTATCTAATTAAATGTTCATAATAATCTTCATGTGTGGAAATGGACTTCAGAGAAACTGAGGAAATTGACCTGAAGTAACTTAAACACAAGGCTTCAAACCTGGTCTGCCCTATTACAGAACTCCCTTAACAACGATGACTTAACAATATGAAGCGTGAACATGTGATGATTACAATGTGAGACAGAATGATTATGGTTTCATTTTGGTTTGGGTTTTTTGAGAGAGGATCTCACTGGATCTCTGTCTTCTGAAAACTGGAATTGCAGTTGGGGATGAAACCTAGGAGCTTTTGAGCATGCTAGGCAAGCATTCTACGATCTGAGGTACATCAGCGGCCACAGAAACATTTTCATTTAAAATCACAAACCAAAATGATGTCTTGAAAATTGGCAGCTTTCAAAAGGTCAAAGAGAATAGACTAATACAGAGAGAGGGAGGAGCGGCATTCTTGTTCTGAGAACACATAGGTGGAGGTTTTGTGCAGAATGTAGCTATGAAAAGTCAGCTTAGCACTCAGACCTCCAACCGTGTAAAGCTCCCTGCTGCCCACACCAGCCCCGCCCAGCATGAAAACATGCTCACAACTTCAGAGCTTCCAGAAAGCAGCCCAAGACCCTTCTGGGTGTGGGACACTTGTCACCAGTCTGTGAAGCCACCCATATCTGTATCCTACGATTTTCATGATGGAATCTCCTGTCAGGGTTCATCTCCAGAGTCACTCAAGGAGCAGTAAGATAAAAGCTTACCTACATTTTCAGCTCCCTGAACTGAATCAAAGGGGAAACAAAAAGTCACCTGAGTACTGGCTGCTCCCTTTCTCTGTACCCTGCTCTGTGGAGTTGTGGGAGCCGGGAGCTGGGGCTACATGCTCCAGCTACTTTGAGCCCACCTGCCACCATGCCACCTGCCATGATGGACTGTACTCTCAGAGAGCAAAATAAAACTCTCATCCATTAAGTGCTTATCAGGTTAAAGCAATGAGAAAGTAGCACACGTTGTTCTTAAACCATCCTCTTTTCCTTTGCTCCCTTCTCTACAGTGGACTCGGCCTATTCATTTGCTCAAAGCTGGAGCATGACCATTTCTACTACTTAGATAGTTATGACCTCAGAGAAACAGCAGCTGCAATACAGAATCAAAGTGCACAGTGTCTGAGGTCTCTCTCCCTGCTCCTTACATTTGCTGAATTGGTATTGAAGTTCTCTTGTGATGCAAAACCCGAACAGTGAGCAAATGAAACATGCTTTAAGAAGCCAGAAAGGTCAGATAAACCCTTATCATAAATGAGTGAGGTTGCTCACTACAGAAAGACGAAGGGGATGTGTGAAAAATTCAGGGAGGGTTCCTTTTTAGTAACTCCTAAGAGTGTGAAATTATTAAAGATGAACAAGATGACTCAAAAGGATATCTAAGGAAGTGTTAATGTGCACTGGCAGTAGTCTCAGACTCTGGACACCTCCTCAAGTGTTTTACTATTGCATTTTTCTGCTGACACAATGCAACCAAACCTATAGCATGCATTTGTGAGTGTTCTTCAGCCACCAAGATTTACCAATTCCACCCCTTAAGTATTTCTTAAATTCCCTTATTCCAATTCCTTTCCTACTTACCAAAAGCAAGGAACCATCCCTTAAAAACCGACCCTTTTTCTAGTTTTGTTTCCCTGTTTTCCATCCTCCACAACCAGCCACCTTGATAGACAGGTGGGAGAAAAAAGTATTCCTTTCCCTTTCTAGCTTAAAATTCTGCTGATGATGCCATGTGATGGTGGCACATGCCTATAATCCCAGCACTGAGGCAGCAGAGGTAGTGAATTGCTATGAGGTTGCAGCCACCTTGATCTGTATAGAGAGACTCTGCCTCAGAAAAACAAAACACTCTGAAGATACTTTGCTTTCCCTGGAGGGAAATATGATATCACCAGCTAGAGTTACACTGTCCTGCTGCCTCAGCCTCTTTTCACTCTCATGGTCCTTGCTGTGCCTCTCCAAATCCAAAGCTTGAATATCTACCTCCTTTAGTAGCCCTTGAACCCGAGACTGATGGTTGGGAATCCAGCATGAGACTGATCCAGACCCCCTGAATGTGGGTGTCAGTGAGGAGGCCTAGACAATCTACAGGGACTAGTAGATCAGTATTTATCCCTGACATACAAATGGACTTTGGGTGCCCATCCCACAATGAGAGATGCACTCTCACCCTGGACTCTTGGGGGGAGGGCCTAGGCCCTGCCCTAGATGAAATGACAGACTATGGTTACCCCCCATGGAGGGCCTCACCCTCCCTGGGGAAAGGAGTGGGGACTGGGGGAGGAGGGATGGGGAGGTTGGTGGGAGGGCCCGGGAGGAGGGAGGGAGAGGGACCTGGAATTGACATGTGAAGCAACCTTGTTTCTAATTTAAATTTAAAAAGAAAAAAATATCCCTTTGGCATCACTTTCTTCCCCCCCACCCTCTCCCAATCTCCATTTATTTGGCTCCCTCAGTGTGTCAATCCTCTACCTAAAGATCATTGCCCCAGAAATAATTTCTGCACCACTCCCTAGATCAGGATGAGGACCCCCACATATTATATATTGTTTTTCCATCATTTTACCATCTGTAATTATGTCTTAGGATAATGATAGGTTTAGTTATAAATCTTCACATAATTGTATGCCTGATCTTAGAACTGTATACTATATGTTCAACAGGGAAAGGATTTTGCTTGTTTTGTTCATACATCTTGCCAGTGCCTAGCACAGTAAGGAACAAATAATTATTTCATGAATAAATAGGAATTTTATTATTAAAATTTATGAAAAATAAGCTGTAAGAAACTGGAAAATCGGCAGGGCGGTGGTGGCGCATGCCTTTAATCCCAGCACGCGGGAGGCAGAGGCAGGCGGATCTCTGTGAGTTCGGGGCCGGCTGGACTGAAAGCCTCCAAAACTATAGAGAAACCCTGTCTCGTAAAACCAAAAAGAAAGAAAGAAAGAAAGAAAGAAAGAAAGAAAGAAAGAAAGAAAGAAAGAAAGAAAGAAAGAAAGAAAGAAAGAAAGAAACTGGAAAATCTTGCTATGCCACCAATCACAGTTTCAGGCCAGCAAATAAGCACTCAGCAACCAGAGAATTTGGGGAGGGAGTGTTGTTTTTTGTTTGGTTTGGTTTGGTTGGGATGGTTGGTTGTTTTTTGTTTTGATTTGTTTTGGGGGGGGGGGTTGAGACAAGGTTTCATTACTACTGTTGTTCAGGTTTTCTTTTTTGTTTGTTTGTTTTGTTTTATTTATGTTTGCTAAAATGAGAAGTTTGACTTCAGATAGAAACCATACAGGATAAGCTCTCCTGACAAGGACTGAGGTGTTGTTTGTTGCTGGGAGTCAAACTTGGTGTTACCCCACCACACACCCACTAGGCAAGTGCTTAACTGCTGAGCTAGGATTTTAATGTTTATGCAAGAGAATACAGACACAGATGAAATGAGGAGTCAATTTCTAACTTGCCCTTATAGAATATTATAGCTGCTTTCCAGGTCTCAGTCTCTGTATGAGCAAGAATTTGGTTTCCTATTTATTTATTTAATTATTTATTTATTTTGGTTTTTCCAAACAGGGTTTCTCTCTGGCTTTGGAGGCTGTCCTGGAACTAGCTCTTGTAGACCAGGCTGGTCTTGAACTCACAGAGATCCGCCTGCCTCTGCCTCCTGAGTACTGTGATTAAAGGAGTGTACCACCAACACCCAGCGTCCTTTATATTTTTTTAATTTATGCTTTTCTTAATTGATTCGTGTGTGTGTGTGTGTGTGTGTGTGTGTGCATGCATGAGCACAAGTGTGAGCCTAGGTTCAGATATTTGCAGAGGTCAAAAGAGAACATGGATTACATGGAGCTGCAGTCATAGGCAGTTGTGGGCCACCTAACATGGGTACTCAGAATGAAACCCTGAACCTCTGAAAAGCAGCAAACTGTCTTATTATTGATCCATCTCTCCAGTCCCAGACTAAAAGCCAGGGCCTCACTCACAGTTCCCAAGAATGTGATCTGCAAACACAACATTTATGGTGAATCTAGAGACATCATAACTAAAATATGTTTATGCCAGGAGAGCAAATTTAGTTTGGCATTAGAAAAATATATTTTTGAAGAATA